ACTATGCATGTGACAAATAAAGAACCTTGAATAGGGCTGCGGCATTGATGAAGTTTGTAGCTGGTTAATAAGATAACTGCGAAATTAATAACTTAGAGGTTTAGAGTTCTTTGCAGTTTATTTATTGCTGCAAGAAATCACACCATGGGCTATGTATGTATGTGTGTGTGTGTATATATATAAATAATCACAACTCCCTACTGCATGCTTATTTATTGTGATTATTGTTCAGTGGTCAGAACCATCGCCTCAGCACTTTCATATTCAATAATGCTGAAGAGCTGGTGGCATCTGGCCAAGAACAATTTAGCACTCTGTTGTAGATGATTTCTTTTCCTTTAAAGTATGACTCTGAAAGAGGAAACCAGATGTGGGGCCTGCCTTTGAATCCAAGTCTAGGAGGATTTCTCGCAAAATTAGGAGAAAATAATCAGAAAAAAGAAAAAAAGATTTGCTTCTCTTATACTTTTTAAATTTTATTAAAAAAAAAAAAAAAATCTCACTCACAGTTTATTTGACCTAGAGCCAAGAAGTTGAATAGAGCAACTTTAGTCAAAATTATCTTCTAGATCTCAACTGAGCTCAACTGCTAGAGCGCAAATCAAAAAAAGACTGTAAAACCTCTACTTAATCTCTCAACTGGTCCCGAGTGTTGGCTGGGTTTTGGCTTTCATAGACATCCTGCAGTGGAGCTGATAGGCTGCACTTGTGAAACACACTTTAGGGTCAAAAACAAGCATTAAGCTTTCTAGGAGCCTCTAAAAAACACTCTCTCCCACCAAATCAGCTTTTTAGAAATGATCAGGCAACAGGATTTATATAAACAGTAGTAAAAAATAAGTGGACTACTAATCTTTAAAATGTATTTTTCCACCCAACGTTAGCTTAGAAGCCAAAAAAACAAGGCTCGTATAGGCTCTGATGGTGCAGTAGTCAGCATCTTTCCTTGGCCCTCTCTCTCTGGAGTTGGCATCTACTGCTTGCACCTGTGAGGGGTTTCTCCAAGTTTGCACGTAAGGTTAACTGGTGCTTCTAAATTTGTGGTGTGGATGTGAGATAGATGACAATAATCAGAGTCAATGAAGAAGTGTGTGTGAAAAAAAAGCACCATGATTTTTTAAATTGTTAAGAATCCAGATACTGGTTGAAAAAAAAAGCTCTTGTTTTTGGTTCATTCATATTCCTTTAACTTAATTTTTATTATATAAATTTTCTAAAGGTAATCAGGACCCCCTGAGTGGATCTATTCACCACCTGTTTGAGAGCCGGTCCTCTACAGGAGCAACTGCACTGTTTATACGAGGTATCAACAAACTAACACAATAAAACTCTCTGGTTCCTAACAGCAGCTGGGCATTTTGGCGTCTGTGAAAAATGGCTCGACAAAACCAACAGAATTGTTTTTTATTAATAATTAATCTTCAGGGATGTTTGAAAGAATATATATATCAGCACAATTTAATTCTGTGTGGGGTTTTTTCCTCGTAAACAATAGAACTTCTTTGTTACATTGGATATTTGCCAGCTAAACACTCCAATAAAATGGTCTGTGCACGTATCTATTATCCCCCACCTGGCCTAAACGTCGGAAGGACACACACCAACCATTCTGCAAAACACAACAAAAATCCTAACATGCATTACTAATTAGTGTTCGGCTTAATGTGCTGAACACTAATTTTTATTGTTCATTAAGGTTAAATTTGTGGAGGATGAACCAACAAATAAATCCAGAAAACGTGTGCCTGAATTTAGCAAACTATAGCGAGAACAAAAACACAACAGCAACAAGAACACAAAGGCACTCAAGAATGAATTAAAACTCAACAGCTGACTATTTAATGCTACACATGCAAATACGAGTCCGTATTTTTTCCATATTTTACTTTTTCCGTCTCTGCAATGCCGACTGTAACCTACGGGTTCCAAACATTTAAAATAAAGCTAAAAGTTGAGGTAGCTCTACTTCCTGGCACAGATGGCTATACAAGCTACCGTGAGAATGAAATGTTCTAAACCAAAGCCTTTGGGAACCAGAAATAGCCCTGCACAGTACAACAATTCATACAGTGACATCTGATGTGAACTTAAGTGGGAGGCACAGAGTTATACTACGGGGACACGGAGGAAAGAAAAGGACTAAAAGCTAAAAGCAGACTTTAGAAGGAGCAGTACAGAAACACTGAGCTGAACTACTGTTCCCCGGAGAACAAAGAAGATATTGTCTGAGATATAGACTACGTATATTATATTCTAAAGAAGTGCAGGGGAATATATGGAGACAGAGAATTCTTTAAACAAAAGAGACATTAAAAAAAGACACCAAAACCAGCAGTACTACTATTAACAAACAAAAACTGTGCGCAAATGCATCCATGTCATCCTCACCTATGAACAGCTGGCTGTTGAGCTGCAGGTGGAAGTGTCCGTCAGTTGGCGCCTCCTGCGTGGCGACAGGAAGTTCATCCAGTCGAAGCGATGCCTCCTTCACGTTCCGTTCTGCTCGGACCCGATGCCACCGGTTGTCATTCAGCGGGACGCTTGACTCCACACGAACCTCCAGTGGGCCGTTACCAACATCAAAGGAGAAAACCACCTGAGTGGAGGCTGAAAAAGTAGCAAGGGACAGGAAAACAGCGTGATTTCATTAACTGATTAATAGAACGCTTTTTAATAATGATTATATGGATCATTATATAAATTAAATCACAAAACTCATAGGCTGTTACATTTAGATTATTTTGTGATAAGAGTCTTAAGAGTCTGTGATAAGAAATATAATGTAATTTGACCCTTGAAGTTACTTTTTTTGTTAGGGAGGATTTGTTTATTGTTGTGTGCAATGTTAAAATAAGTTCTTTACAGAGCAAAAATGATTTAATATGAAGGCAATATGAGCAGAGAGCACAAACATGTTGAGGGTTTGGTTGTGTAAGTTCAGTGAGGGAATTAATTAAAAGAAAACAATTTTCACTAGTAGTCAGAAACTAATGTGTACACTCATGTCTGCATTTTTATTTTGTTAAATACGAACAAAATTGTGCGTCCATGTTCCTGGCCAGAAAGACAGCACCAATTTGTTTATTTGGTAGTTCAACGAAAGGCTTCAGTTAGTTAAAAGTGAGAAAAATAAACTGTGTACACGCTTGCAGTTTTGTCATGTTATACAATATTTGAAATTTGAAAAAAAAAAAAAAAGCAAACAAAACACTTCATTTTCTGAAATATTTGTGGGTGTTTTCTAGTTTGTTTGTTTTTCTTTGAAGTACTTGAACACTAAAGTGGCCCTCACATGACATGACAGTGCCTGCAGTGGCCCACGGCTCATTTAAGTTTGAGAGCTCTGCTCTATAGTATACTGTAGTACTTACAGGTATTTTATCTGTATGTTAAAGTGACTGTGGAAACACTTCTCTTTTGGAAAAATATGTCAGATATCACATTCTTAAAACTATCAATAAACTATATGGATTCAACACACAGACACCTGCCAAAATACAGTACTTATATTTTACTCACCAAAACTAGAATACCCAAAAGTACAACACTAATGTTTTGGAGGGGCTGTCACCATCATACAGCAGGCTTTAGTATTTGTTAACTAATTCAATAAAAAAAAAAATGTTCTAGAGCAGTACTCCCCAACCTTTTTTGCGCCACGGACTGGTTTATGCCCGACAATATTTTCACGGACCGGGGGGTTGGGGATCGCTGTTCTAGAAGGCATAAATCAGGTTCAGCTGCCTGTCAATCAAAGTTAGCATGCCCCCAATTCACATATTCCAAAGAGTGAGTCAACAAAACAAAAGTCACCCAATACAGTAACATTATACAGGCAAAAGTATTAGGCCACACCTCAGTCACAGTCTGTCCAACAACCTGCAGAGACCATCTGTTGTACATCTATCAGTCAGCTGCAGGAAGCAGTGAAGTTAGAATATATAGAGACCTGAAGTGAAACTGAGTGTTTGTCTCCACTTTTCATCCTGTATTGTTTAAAATCTTTTTCTTCTCAAGTCAAGTTCAAGATTTTTCAAGTTTCTCCAATTCTTGGTAAAGTTGCTGTCACTCCCTTCCCTATTCCGGTCCATTTGCCAACCAATCAGCATTTGACCGACGCATCAGTCATCCACGCCCCAACATACAGATGGGGTTTTGGAGGATGGCCTGGGAGCACATTTGTAGTGGGTGAAAGTGCCACTCTGTTCCCTGCAAACAGAAACACGTATGCAGACGAACACATTTGGAGTATCATAAATTATACATCATGGACTTTGGATTCAGGTGTTTTTAATTCTACTGCCACAGGTATAAAAAAACGAAGCACCTTGCTCTCCAGTTTGTCTTCATAACCATTTGTGAAATAAAGAATTTTCTATACTGTAACAGGATTCTACTGTTGCAGCAAGTTACTTTGTGAAATTTCTTTCCTTCTAGATATCCACTGATCGACTGTAAATTATATTATTGCAAAGTGGGAGTGTTTAGTAACCATAGCAACTGTCAAAGCCATGAAGTGGGAGGCCATGTAAAGTTACAGAGCAGGGTCACTGTTTGCTGATGCACATAGTGCGTAACACTCAGGTTTTTTTTCTCAACACACACACACACACACACACACACACACACACACACACACACACACACACACACACACACACACACA